CGAACTTCGAAACACTGTCTTCCCTTTGACAGACTTTCGAGAAGGTGATCGGACACTTGGAACCTTAGTAAGCGCCGAGGTGGTCACCGGCCAAATGATTACCTTCAATATGTAGGTTATATAAGGCTCTGGAGGAATAAATGGGACTGTTATTCTGGTGTTAAAGGGCAACTCCGGCCAAAACTCAAAATGAATTAAATTACTGGTATCGCTTTAGTGACACAAAATACGACCCCAGCCAAAATTTCACGTCCGTGGGACGCCGCATTCTCAACTAATGCCGATAATAAAAATGCGACCCACCGCGAGCAGCTGCTCCTTAGCGGGCGGCCAGCGGGTTGCCGATCGCTAAAGCAACATTGGGCCGTGATGTCAACATCGTTCTCTTTTTTTTTCTCCGTTCCGGAAGGGCGCACGGCGCAGCCGTCGCGCGCGCTTCTTTGTGCCGCTACCACCGCTACTTCGGCTTGTGATTGCGTGTTTAGCCGTTGCTTTTACCTGTAGCCCGTGTAGCTTCGGTATAGCCTTTTGTTTATTTGCTTGTGAGGACTCCTAGACTCTTTTTAGCGAGCAACTCAATGCGCCCAAGACTGCCCAGCTGTTCCTCGAAAGATGCCGAGTACAACTTAGCGCTGTGGGCTGCTCAAACAACCCGCTGCGAAACCCGGGGGTGCTTTTTCACAATTTTCCAACGGATCGGAAAATGGAGAAGGTGTGGGTGAACGCTGTTCGACGAGTGGACTTTGGAAAGCCTTGGACACCGACCCCCAGATCGAAGCTCTGCTCCGATCATTTTTCGCCGGAGAGTTACGAACGAAACCCACAGGTGTTGGTTGCATGTGGCTTGTCAGCGAAGGGGTCGAGGCTTAAAAAGCATGCCGTGCCGTCGCTCTTTGCCCATCGTACATGTACAGAAAAGGTAAGCATGATAAAAGTATCCAGATCAATAAATAAAGCAGTCATTGTCAAGTGCAGTGTTGAAGATTGAGCATTCACGCTCCATTGAATGTCTGTTGAATGGGGAATGGTGGGCATGTAGAGTACAACCACTAACTAGCTCCAAACACTGAAGTTTGTAAGGAAAAGAAAAACAATGTTCTGCTTTGCGTCACTGCTTGTTTACTACGCAATTTCGTGCGTAGTATTCAGGTCCGTAACGACTACTAGCGAACAGCCGGCGCGTGGAGCTCATGCGATATAAACATTCGCCTCCCAATCGTTCGAACCCGTTACGCAGCAGTATTAATTAACATTGCGCTTGTGAATACCACAAGGGACTTTAAAGAAATCACGAAAGTTCGGATTTGTAAGTTACAACCCTCTGATTTACCCGAGTTAGGCTGGAGGTAAATATAATATTTAAAAATGCAAAAAAAAAAAAAAAAAAAAAAACACTTGCCTTAGTCAAAAGTTACGAAGGAAAACCTAAAATCCTATGTATTCCAATAAAAAAAATTGTTGTGGGGGGGGGGGGGGGGGGTCGGAATGCGGAAGGGAAAGAAATTGTTCTCACCTTGCTAACGTTCTCTGTTTTCCCTTATCACCCACAAAAACTTTTGCTAGCCTTGAGAAGAAAATGACTGCCCAAAGAACTTTTCTTTTTTATTTCTTTAGTGCAACAAGTTTCTTCTTTTTTTTTTTTTTTTTGTACAAAGATTTACTACCTGGACGAACTTATGTGGTGAATTAGTGTCGTAGCTTACAAATTCGGCTTTTACGCGCCTGAGGAAAAAATAACGAAAAAATAGACGTCTACAGCTTAGCACACGTCTGTTCGGGCGTTGCGGCCCGCGCCGGACAGCCTCAAAGCTTCGTGTCTGGAACTGACCCATAGCGCGAAAGCGAGAGGGCCCCCAGTACTGTACGTCACTGGCAGCGCGGCGTAGAGCAACGCCGCTACATCCACGGAGCCCCGATGACAATTTAGGCCTAGCGACGGGTGCGGGAGACCGCACGCACGCCGACAGCTGCCGAGTACGGCGCCGAACGAGTTCACTCGTTTTCCAGTCGCTAGCTTTTGGGTATACAAGCAACGAGTACGGCACGGCATAGCGCACGCGCGGCGGCGGCCGCCGTGTACGGCACGGAACGAGTTGACGGGTTTTCCAGTCACTAGCTTTTGGATATACGCACTAACTCTTGCTACATATGCTGGATAACTACCACGTATACAGAATTAAAACAGAATCAGCTTACCTTTTACCTTTAGACGGCTAGCGCAACAAAGGTAGGTGCCGCTCGGCCTGCGTACTCGTTGAACGAGAACGATCTTGACGTCACGTTCACATAGCGGCTGATTTCCAGTGTTGCCGGAACCTCGAACGGCTAGTTTCGGTTTTGTCGGCCGCGCCCCAAACAAAACTTTGAGAGGTCGATATCTTTAAAACTACGCACAATAACGAGAAAAAAAATTACACCTTGCAATTCAGGGACGCTGACTGCACTAGAAACAGCCATAATCCCAAAATCGAAAGTATGGACCGGAGTTGCCCTTTAAGTGCTTCATGGTGTTTGTGTTTGTTTCCATTGCTTATTTGTGGAATGTGTAGGGAACACTATTTCCTAACAAAACACAAAGCATATATTTTAAAAAAATTGAGTGTTTTTTTAAGGTTAATGTGCGGTTCCGTCAAAAGGAATTCAACAAAATTTATGCAAGAAGGAATTCTAAAAAAAAATTAAGCGGCGATTTTAACAAGGAGTTAAATGAGTTGTCAATATAAAGTCTAAAAGACATCAAAAAGTTTAAAAAGAAATTCAATACTATTCCAGAAAATTTTCAACAGAAATTCAAAAGATTGTAACTACAGATTTTTGTAAGGGTTGATGCCGCTCGTCGGGCCGCGATCGGAGGGGGCAGGGTGTCGCAGGTTGACCATTCCGCTTTACATTAAAAAGTTTAAGACCACTTGAGAGATTAGGCGCAATCGATCGACGTGCGGATAGTCATGTTGGAACGCTGGTCTCAACAGTAATCTCCTGTCGTATACACTGGCCAATCTGACTGTCGGTTGTCTCCTCCCCGAGAGCGATTGCGCTCTGGCTAAAGGACCGATCAGTACGAAATTATGACGGAAAGTACGTATATTTACAGTGTGAAATTTTACCATTAATAAAATAGTAGGCGAAATTGAAAAAAAAAAGTCGTTACCCTTTATTTTGCTGTTTAAATATACTACGGTTCCTGGAGAAACTGCCCTCCAAGTGGCGCGCTGGGATGAGCGCTAGAAGTTTTCGAGTTCGCCACGGCGTACACTTAACACCTGCCGGGCTTTCGACTGCATTCAAGTTGATCGAAAAGCGATTTCTCTGCCCGTGAAGCATCACTTCCAGCTGAGTGAATATCCGCTCTAGAGAGAGCAATTCAAGACCGCAATTGCAGCTTTGCGCGAACAGCACAAACAGAAAAAGAAACACTACAATAAAAATACAGGCTACGACGCGCCGTGCGGGGAAACAAACTCATGGCTTCGAACCGCATTGGAGCGGCTTGATTTATTGGCCTTCAAATAATTACGGCATGATCGAGTGTTTACTTTTTAATAAAAGATTCATCCCCTGAGCCATTCAAAATACTCTCAGAGGTATGACATTGCTGGGGGAAAAAATCAAGATGCTGGGAATATTTTTTATTACTTAGCCAGTCACCAAGAAATTCCGAACGTTCAAAACGACCAATATAAAAAAACGGAAGCGCAGAGCTCGGGTGTAGTGTTCGGGCTAGTGTGGTGTTCCGTTGTATTGATATTCGTGTGTGCCGTGTATGTACTCAATGTATGTTCACCTGATGCTTCTAATAAGCGTAATGTGTGTATAGTAGAGGATCCCCAAGCACAATAGTGGCCTGAGGAAATCAAAATACTTTTTGTAGAACATGAATTGGGCGGTACCTAGCGCCACCTAGCCTAGCTACTTGCAATTACTCTGCTTGACCCCGCCATCTGGTGGCTAGCGATTTAACCTTCTTTCACGCTACGCGATAAACAGCGGCTTCGAGTTTGTTCTTTCGAGAGCGGCTTTTGGTTTCACAGATTGAGTTTGCCTTTCTCCGTGATGTGCGGTTGACGAAGGAATCGTGACTCGAGGAACACCAAAGGTAAGACGCAAAGTGCGCGAAGTAACTGGGTATCGGTTGTCTCCGTTTAACATCGCAGTGCTGTCGATGAGAAGACTGAGTAACTGCTTTCGAAATGCAAGTTTCTGTACCTGTGGGGGGATCTGGCTTCAGAAACAAACACAGTTCGCGGAAAGCTCGTGTTAAGGCCCGTTCACACTCTTGCGACCGAGTGCGACCGAGTACGACTGAGAGAGACGAGTTCTCTTAAAACTTGTTAAATGTTTATAAAATGAGAGAACAAATTGGCATTGTGGCGCCATCTATGCGGTCACCCTGGAACTGCATTTCACAAGAGCGAAGGTTTTGCGGAATTTCGGAGGTCAAATGTGCGTAATACCCATAGAAAGGCTCGAGCCAAGAAAGAAAGGATAATGCGCGAGAAATAAAAAAAAAATATGCCGGACCGCCGAGTTTGCACTGCTTCCCCATAGATGGCGCCAGTGTGTTTTCTGGTTTAAGAAGTTGTAAGGAACCTAGGTTTAAGAGGTCGCAAGATTGTGAACGGGCCTTTACGCTTTTATTTGCTGCTCCTCTCGTCCCGTACAAGAGACGTAGCGTCCTCGTTAAGCCTTATTGAGCTCGATTTGCTCGATTCGTGGCCGCCATAATGAGATGCAGGCGAAGGAGGAACTGTTGAAAAACTAACAATGAACACCACTGACACGAGACATTTAGCCTGGAGCTAAAAGAAGACGAGGGGGATGGGGAATCGCGAGCGCGAGCGAACGAGCAGTCGGATAAACCGTTTAACACAAGCCGGTTGTGCTGTTATTCTTTCTCGACCTCAATGTCCTCAACGAGTACCTAGCGAAAGAGCGCCTCAAAGCGCAACAATTATTTGGTGCCGAAACCCGGGACTTGGACTTGAGGAATCAACCTGAAAATGGATCGGCTCAAGACCAAGCGTAAAGTCCGACGCAGTCAGAATACGAAGATAATCAACGAGATAACGACCATGCTCCAGTCCGTCGCCGTTGATGCCTCTTCTCTCGAGAACCTGAGAGACAGACTGGTAACCAGCAACGAGGAACTCCGTAAAGTCAACGAGGAGATCGAACCACACATCAGCGATAGTGACCTGGAGACAGACTACATCACTGTCGCAGAATATGAAGACGAAGTGGCTAGGACCCTCAGCGAACTGCGCAACAAGATCGCGCGGTTGCAGGCAACGCCAACCATATCCGCTACGGGAGCCGACGGCGACAGGGGCCACCCATCCCAAGCTACGGGAGTGAAGCTCCCCAAACTGCAACTTCTACACTATCAAGGGGAGCTCACGCAGTGGCAACCCTTCTGGGAGCAGTTCGACGCCTCAATACATCGGAACACCCAGCTCTCTGATGGAGAAAAATTCCAGTACCTGCGGTCGCTTCTGAATGGGCCTGCCGCCAGTGCCGTTTCCGGGCTGCAGGCTACGGCAGCGTGCTACAGAGATGCAATAGAGATACTTACTGAACGCTTTGGCGACAAGCAAAACATTCAGCGGGAATATCTGGAACGGCTTCGAAACCTTCCAATGGTAAAGTCAGTGCGTGATGTCCAAGGACTGCGCAATGTGTACGATCACGTCCAGACAAACATTCGCGGTTTGCGCTCCTTGGATGTTTCAAGCGCGACGTACGCCACAATGATGGTGGACATACTCCTGTCCAGTCTTCCAACGGACATCGTTGTGGATTACCATCGACACAAAAGCTACGGAATACCGCTTGTAGTTTCCGCAGGCAGAGAGGAGGGGGCTAGCACGTCTACGATGGAGCAGTCAACGTCGCTGCATCGACAACGGATGCCGGTGAGGAGCTGGCTAAACTTTTGCGGTTTCTTCGCGTGGAAATCGAGAGCAGAGAACGATCAGCACCGCTCGAGAAAAGACCAGCGAGTGTGCCGAGGATAGCTCCTAAACCGATACAAACTGTTTATCCACCATCAACGTTCGCGTTACAAACCAGCGGGACAGACAACTACTGCTTTTTTTGCAACCAGCAGAGTCACAGTACCGGCGCTTGTACTGCTGACATCGCACTTGATGAAAAGAAAGGAAGATTAGCGCAAGACATGAGATGTTTTCGCTGCACCAAACGAGGGCATCGGTCCAAAGACTGCCGCAGCCAAGCGAGATGTTCTGGATGCAGGGGACGACATGTCTCGTCCATGTGCAATCCTGCTTGGCAGACGACAAGACCAGTTCCGGAAGAGACCGCCAATATACTCACCACCAGTAATACGACGCCTCACCGAGCATCGAGCGTTCTACTGCAAACTTTCAGGAGCTGGGCCGTGAGTGATGAGAGCTGCGCATATATCCGCGGTATTATCGATGGTGGAAGCCAGAAGACGTTCATCAGAGAAGACTTGGCAAGGAAACTTAACTTGAAAATTATAGGCCATCGAAGCATGAAGCTTAACACCTTTGCCAACAGCGGCTCGGACGTGATAAAACAGAACTTCACACTGGTCAGACTACGACTTCGAGGCCAGTATGCGATGACGGAGTATGCTTTAGAAGCCGTTGTCGTCCCATTTATCTGCCAAGATCTCATCGAAACACCCGTCGAACATTCGTTCCTTAAAGCGATCACGGGGTCCATCGCTGACGAGTTGATGTTTCCCTCCGTCCAAGCAGAGGAAGGCATAAGCCTGCTCATTGGCGCTGACCAAATGTGGAGATTGTTGACTGGCAAAACACGCCGCTCATCATCCATCCCCGGCCTGGTGGCCATTTCAACTAGCCTAGGATGGACCTTTCAGGGTCCAACAGGCACCGTGAGAGTCTTGTCGAATACTACCGCGAACTTGATGGTATGCGTGTTAGGAGTGGCATTGACCGCCGAGGACGACGGGGCAGCGTTAAGAAACTTCTGGGAGCTGGAGGCCATTCGAATCAGGGATGAACCGACCAGTACGAAAGAGCAAGATAGTACGGTACTCGAACAATTCACAGAGAAAATAAGTTGGAAGAATGGCCGCTACGAAGTCGCTCTACCCTGGAAGGAGACAGCAACAACACTTGGAAACAATTACATCACTGCCAGGTCTATACTCCGCAGCCTGATCCAACGCCTCAAGCACGATGACTCCATCGCACTCTATGACAAAGCGATACGCAATTACTTTGAGGACGGACACGCAGAAGAGGTGAACGAAAAGTCCCCATGTGATGGACGCGTTTATTATATGCCTCATCGAGCGGTGATTCGAGCCAACTCGGAATCGACAAGAATTCGAGTGGTGTTCGACGCTTCATCACACGCGCCAAACACCGGATCTCTCAACGACCATCTTGAGAAAGGGCCTACCATTAACACAGAACTTTTGCCGGTGCTTCTCCGATTTCGTATGCAAAAGGTGGCTCTCACAGCTGACATCCAAAAGGCCTTCTTGCAGATAGAAATTGCAGAGTATGACAGAGATGCTCTCCGGTTTCTTTGGTTTGAGAAGACTCCCAGACCAGGCGAGCCGCTGCCCGATATCAAAGAGTGGCGCATGACGCGAGTTCCTTTTGGAACAACTGCCAGTCCATTCCTACTTGGAGCGACAATTCGTCATCGCTTAAAGAACGTGAGTGATTCGAACAAAGACATCGCGGCTCTTTTGCTGGACTCATTTTACGTGGACGACCTACTGATTTTAGCCGCAAGCACCGAAGAAGCCCGAAGACTCGCTGATGGAGCACAGACATTGCTCAGAGAGGCCGGCATGGAACTTCGCAAATGGAATACCAATTCCAGCCAACTGCAGAACCTATTCAATCAAAAGGAGGGGAACGTCGATAATTCACCTCAGATCACGTCAATCAAGTCCCACGAAGTCACAAAGGTACTGGGACTGGTGTGGGACAAAACCACAGATTCCTTCACGTTTTCTAGTGACCATCTCTTGGAGATTCTCTCGACAAACATGACTACAAAACGCTTCGTCCTCAGAGCCTCTGCTAGGATCTTCGATCCCCTAGGATTCCTCTCACCTTACGTCATACGAGTAAAGATTTTGTTTCAACGTATATGGCAACATGGCCTGGGATGGGATGAAGAACTACCAGAAGCACTACGGCAAGAGTGGACAACGTGGTGCGCCGAGTTAAAGGACTTGCCACGCATCATGGCTCCGAGACACTTACAGAATGCGGATGGTGAGAGCAAGCTGGAGCTTCACGTTTTCACAGACGCCAGCCCTCAGGCTTATGGTGCCTGTGCCTATCTTCGCGCCGTGGACAGAAAAGAAAATGTCAGCGTCACTCTGGTGTTTGCCAAGTCCAGAGTTGCCCCGCTTAAGACGCTGACCCTCCCACGACTAGAACTGATGGGAGCCCTCTTGGGAGCACGCATGGCTAAATATCTGTGTACTGTTTTGTTTGGTGTCGTAGTTACGCTATGGTACTGGACAGATTCAATGATAACCCTCTGTTGGATTAAAGGATCAGCAACTGCATGGAAACCTTTCGTCGGCAACCGAGTGACAGAAATACAAGCACTAAGCGATCCCTCTAATTGGCACCACTGCCCGGGCAGCGCGAACCCAGCAGACGCCCTAACTAGAGGAAAGACGGTAATGCAGCTAACTGCGTATCAGTTATGGTGGTCTGGGCCTGAGTGGCTTTCCCGAAAAGAAGGAAACTGGCCAATTGGCAGTACCTCAGAAGATGAAAACCTCAACGGAATTGATGGGGAGAGACGACAACAGGTCGGGGAAATACTGCTGACCACTGTGAGTGCACCAACCGCACTCTTGACATTGGAGAATTTCAGCAGCTATACCAAGATGCTGCGTGTCACAGCGTGGATAAAACGATTTGTTCAAGGTTTTCGTCGACAGAACAAGTCACCTGAACTGCCCCTAACGGCAGATGATATTAGAGATGCAGAAGCTTTCTGGATCAAGAATGTCCAACGAGAATGCTTCGGCAGAGAGATCCAGGAGCTGGTTCAAGGCGGAAGTACCTCAAAAGGATCGAGAATAACCGATCTGCAGCCCTTTCTTGACGACACAGGAACCTTGCGTATTCGAGGCAGACTTCACCAATCCACAGCCTCGGAGGAGGTGAGACATCCTACTCTTCTGTTAGGAGATCACCCTTTCACCAAGTTGCTTGTCATGAATGCTCACCTCAGAGTATTACATGGAGGCTTGCAGGCCACTCTGACAGAAATTCGTAACAGATTTTGGCTCTTAAGTTCACGACGAGCCGTGAAGAAGATCATCGCGGAATGTCGCATCTGTCGACGATTCCAAGCAAAACCGGCCACAGCCCCCGTAGCTCCGCTACCACGGGACAGAGTGGAAGAGAGTCAACCCTTTCAAGTCGTGGGAATCGACTTCGCGGGGCCACTGTTGGTCAACTCAGCAGGGCAGTGCGTTAAGGCCTACGTTGCCTTATTCACTTGCGCGACCACCCGGGCACTACACCTCGAGCTGGTATCCACCGCGGCCACGGCGCCATTTCTTTTGGCCCTGCGACGCTTTGTGTCACGAAGAGGTCTCCCAAGCACCATTTATAGCGACAATGCGCTGACATTCAAGAGAGCAGCGAAGGACCTGCCGGCCTTGTGGGAGGCTATTCGCAGTGCAGAATCTCAAGACTTCTGCAGTGTTAACCGAATCACCTGGAAGTTCATTGTAGAACGGGCAGCCTGGTGGGGAGGCTGGTGGGAGAGGATGGTGAGGTCGGTGAAAACGTGCCTCCGGAAAATTCTTGGACGGCACAGCTTGTCGTTTGAAGAACTAACGACGGTACTGACTGACATCGAGGCAGCGCTGAACTCTCGGCCACTCACCTACCTTCATGCCGATAATAGTGAACCAGCGGTCTTGACCCCCGCTCACCTACTCATAGGAAGGCGATTGATAACTCTTCCAGAGGCGGAGCCAACCCACGCGTCATCGAGAGATTCACTAACACGCCGGTGGAAATATAGGCAGAGGCTCATGAACAACTTCTGGGTACGTTGGAAGAAAGAATACCTACTAGAGCTTCGTTCGGCCCACCTTGCACCACCGCTCAGCAGCCGTGCACCGAACGTTGGTGATGTAGTACTGTTGCATGACCGTATCACTCCAAGACATCTTTGGACCTTGGTACGTGTCGTTGAAGTTTTTCCAGGAAGAGATGGAAATGTAAGGGCGTGTGCTGTTAAGCTGCCGTCTGGTTGTGTAATCCGACGGCCAGTGCAGCTGCTCTACCCTTTGGAAACTTTGTAAATCTTATCCCCAATTTCCTCACTTCGTGAGCGAGGGGAGGATGTTGAAAAACTAACAATGAACACCACTGACACGAGACATTTAGCCTGGAGCTAAAAGAAGACGAGGGGGATGGGGAATCGCGAGCGCGAGCGAACGAGCAGTCGGATAAACCGTTTAACACAAGCCGGTTGTGCTGTTATTCTTTCTCGACCTCAATGTCCTCAACGAGTACCTAGCGAAAGAGCGCCTCAAAGCGCAACAGGAACTATTTGCTCCCCTGCTTCAGGGACGAAAGTGTCTCCCTTTCTGAAGGAACATAGGTTACAAGACCGTTCCTACCCTTAGGGAGGACTATCGATACCCTTTTTTCTAAGGGTGTGGGGCTAACAGACCTATCCGTGGTTGGGGTCCCGGCGGCCCCCAATATGCTTTTTTGGCGGGTTCATTGTTCTAAAATTCGATTTCCTTTGATTCAATATTATAATAGCGGTTAGCCATTTGTGTTCTTTGTGTACTTTCCTAAACTGCAGAGGTTTCAAATTAACACTTTCTGTCAATATGTATCTTCGTTTTTACTTCCGGCATGACCAACATTAACATTGACACCAATACAAACATAAAGAATTATTTGTGTTCCACGGCCCCGTTCATGATGACGGCCCTGACTGCCGTGCACCTGAATTCAATTATGAGGTAGAATGTTGCCTCGTACAGATG